AAGACGGCCCAGGAGGACCCCACGATGGCCCAAGAGGCATCCAAGACGGCCCTGAGACGGCCCAAGAGGATCTACCGTGGAACCCAAGACGGCTTTAGAAAGCCCTTCGACTGCCCAAGAAAGCGCCAAGACGGCCCCACGACTGCCCCCACACACCCACCATACGGCCAAGAGGGCACCAAGACAGCCCAAGAGAGTCCCAAGCCGGCGTAAGAGGGCCCCAAGACAGCCCAAGAGGGCCACAAGCAGCCCCCAAGACTGCCTCACAGGAGGCCAAGACAGCCCCAAGGCAGCTCATCATGTTCATCATCACCATCATCATCAGCAGCAGCATCATCATCATCAGCAGCAGCATCAGCATCAGCATCATCATCAGCAGCAGCATCAGAATCATCATCATCAGCAGCAGCATCAGCAGCAGCAGCAGCCACATCACCATCATCATCATCATCATCATCATCATCATCATCATCATCATCATCATCATCAACAGCAGCAGCAACAGCATCATCATCAGCATCATCATCACCGTAATCAGCATCATCATCATGATCATCAGCATCATCATCAACATCATCATCATCATCATCATCATCATCATCATCAGCATCATCATCGGCCATCAGCATCATCAGCAGCAGCATCATCGTCATCATCATCATCCTCATCACCAGCATCATTATCATCATCATCATCAGCATCACCATCATCATCATCATCATCATCATCATCATCATCATCATCATCGTCATCAGCATCAGCATCGTCATCATCACCATCATCATCAGCAGCATCGGCATCATCAGCATCATCATCAGCAGACGCAGCATCAGCATCAGCATCATCATCAGCAGCAGCATCAGAATCATCATCATCCGCCCACTCCTTTTCCTCCTCCTCCTCCTCCTCCTCCTCCTCCATCTCCTACTGAGAGGCTCCTCCTCCTGCTCCCCCTCCTCCTTCTCCTCCTTTTCCTCCCCCTCCTCCTCACGAGGCTCCTGCTGCTGCTCCTCCTCCTCCTCCTCCTCATCCCCCTCCTCATCCTCATCCTCATCCTCATCATCATCGTCATCATCAGCAGCATCAGCATCAGCATCGTCATCTTTATCAGCAGCATCATCCTCATCCTCATCCTCATCCTCATCCTCATCATCATCATCATCATCAGCAGCATCATCAGAATCACCATCAGCTCCAGCATCAGCATCAGCATCAGCATCAGCATCATCATCATCAGCATCAGCAGCATCATCATCGTCATAATCAGCATCGTCATCGTCATCATCATCAGCATCATCATCATCATCGTCACCATCACAGACACCAACACCATCACCCTCACCGTGATCATCCTCAGAATCGTCAGCACCATCAGCACCATCACCGTGAACATCGCCATGAACCAGCAGCATCGTCTTCATCAGCATCGCCCGCATCATCACCATCACCATCAACATCAACCGCACCATCACCAGAATCCGCATCACCAGCAGCAGCCTCATCATCAGCAACGGCATCATCATCAGCACCATCATATGAATCAGAAGTACCAGCATCAGCATCAGCATGATCATCATCAGCATCATCATCAGCATCATCATAAGCAGAATCCGCATCATCATCATCATCATCATCATCATCAGCATCATCATCATCAGCATCATCAACATCATCATCAGCATCATCATCATCATCGCCATCATCATCATGAGCATCATCAGCATCAACATCATCATCATCATCATCATCATCATCATCATCATCATCATCATCATAATCATCATCATCATCATCATCATCATCATCATCATCATCATCATCATCATCATCATCATCATCATCATCATCATCATCATTATTATCAACCTCATCCATATCATCATCAGCATGATCATCGTCATCGTCGTCGTCGCCATCGACATCGAAATAGCACCCCACCACAATCAGAATCACCAAACTCAGAATCCTCATCGTTATCATAAGTATCATCGTCAGCCAAATCGTCATCATCAGCATCAGCATCACCATCATCATCACCATCAGCATCATCATCACCATCATCATCATCAGCATCATCAGCATCACTGTTAGCACCATCGTCATCGTCGTCACCATCATCGGCATAAGCATACTCAGACTCGTCACCATCAGCATCAACATCACCATCATCATCAATGTCGCCATCATCAGCAGCAGCATCATCATCATCATCATCACCATCATCAGCATCAGCAGCATCATCATCAACATCGTCATCATCGTCATGAACATCAGCATCGTCATCATCATGTACATCATCATCGTCGTCATCGTCATCATTACCAGCAGCATCATCATCGTCATCAAGATCGTCATCAGCGACATCATCATCATCAGCATCATCAGCAACATCATCAGCATCATCAGCATCATCATCATCGTCATTACCCCCATCATCCTCAGAATCCTCATCCTCATCACGGCTCTTCCAACCCTGGAGACACGAGATGTCACACGTAAC